AAAAATGTGAATGTGAAAAGTGACATTCTGTTAGTTTTCTATGAAAAAGTAACATTCTCACTGAAAAGTTGCAGCATTTTATTAAAACAATTTACTGGATGTATGTGTGTGTATTTGAAAATTTAAAAATAAGAATTCAAACCTTGTTTCAATTTTATATATATATATATATATATATATCTCAAAAAAAAAAAAAAGTCACAGTATGTAATTGGAATAATTTACTAGACGCATACTGTGTGTGTTATTTGAAATTCAAAATATACGAATTCAATTCTTATTTTAATCTTGGATTCAATTCATATTTCTTTAAATCAATTTAATTTATGCATCCAACGTGTTTGTGAAAATTTGAATATGAAAACGTGACATTTTGTCACTTTTCTATGAAAAATGCATAGTCTAAAATATCAAAAAAGTGATGAAAGTACAAAAATTTCTGCTTGCTTGCTGTACTTGAGTCCATTAAACACCAATTTAATCAACTCACATTTTGCAGAGTTCTCATTTTCTATAGGTCAATCACGGAGACCATATTACTGATCTCTTGCACCTTGCACATGACCAAGCTAGATGTAACTTTACTTTTCATAATAAAATCTTTGACAAAAAGAACTTTACCCCCACTATATTAAATCACAATCCTACAAAAAGGAGAATAAAAACAAAGGACAATGTTTATATGATCTTGTTTAAGGTCTCTTTGGTAGGGATTCTACTTTTTGTAAAAGGGTTTTCTTAGGAAGTTATCTTAGTCCAACTTCCTTTATAAACTCTTATACTTCCAAAAAATTATTTACCACACAATCTTTACCACAATCCTACAAAAAGAAGAAAAAAAAAATCCCCCACACGACGCAACACGAGAAGTTGGACTCATTCGTTGAACTAATAAGGCATCATTAATTTGGATAGTGTGAATTAAAATTATCTTTCAAGAATGAATATTAAATCCTATGGTCTTATCAAACATTGATGATGTTATTATCAAACCTTATTAATATAATCAAGCTGTGTTTTTTAGTCACTTCACATGAAACCATGTTATAGGTAGTGAAACTATACATTGAAATAAAATTGCATGTCAAAACCACCAACACCAATTGCTACAGAAACAGGTTGATTTGTAATTGATTCAAGACAATTTCGTCATTTCTAGGTACATGGACAGCTGGAGAATTCATTTACAAAGACAAAAGGCGTGAACAAAAGGACAGATAATTTACCCTTTTCTCATTAACAGAAGTCATGTTAGATTCTTAAAAACTTGCTTTTATTTCAAATTTATTTTTTTGTCACTTAATTTTATACATTGTTTAAATTACAGTTTACATCTTCGGCTCTATAGGGATAAATTCTTTCTATTGTTTAGCCATCTTGTTTCTTGACGAACTCGAATGCGTGTTCTATGCATCCTTCGTTGCAGCCTTCATTACCCTTTTCACAATCAATTAGCTCTTGCTCAGGTAAGGAGACTAATTGACTAGTTTAATTTTTATTGTTCCCTTCAACTCCAACTACAACTACAACTGAAAATGCCTAACAACTACCTGCATAAAATTGATTCAATCCAGTTATTATAAACATCAATATAATATAATATAATATAATGTAAAATCTTGATGTTTAGACCATGTGTTGGTTTGTTATCTCGGAATTTCCCTCCGAAGCCAAATCATTTTCTATGAACTCCACCCCTTTGAAGGTCCAAAGACTATAACCAACAAATAAGAAGCCAAAAACACCCTCCAAATTCCCGCCTTTTCAATATCAGAATTCAGTTTTTCGATTTGTTTATACAAGACATATTGTAGAAAATACAAAAAGAAAAATCCACATGTAGAACTAACTTGTAGCGAAGGCATAAGTACCATTCCAAGAAACTCTTCAAACTAAAGAATGACACCAACTTTGTTCATCCATATAGACACAACGCATATACAAAGAACAAAAATTCCCTAAAAATCTTAATAAAGTCAGAATAGTGTCGATGTTTTCTTCACTTATAGTTCGAATCTCTAATGGTGGTGGCGCTGTGGTGACTTTGACGAAATTGGCTTATTCTTCAATATGGAGGGTTAGTGTTTTGTTATTTCAGCAAAATGACTTTTTTTTTTTTTCTTTTTCTTCTTCTTCTTATCAAGTTTGGGTGTTTTTTAGTCTTATCAAGTTTGGGTGTTTTTTAGTCTTATCAAGTTTGGGTGTTTTTTAGTGTATTAATTACTGTTAACTAAATGTTTAGTGGAAAAAATAATTAATTAATTTAGTGTATTACCCAATTTTCTAGTTTTTGGGGTTGTACTGGGCCTAATTTTTCCATTTTTCTTTAGGCATATATGCGTTTAGTTGGGCCAATCAAGTTTTTCAACTTTTTTCCAAGTGAAAATTACACTAAAGCGGGTATTTAAATATAAAAATTCAAAATCAAAAATAAAGTTTATTTAACCAAAAATCATGTGACAAATTCATATTTTAATATTATTAATTATATTATGAATTAATTTTCCCCATTCAAACCCTAAATCATTCTCGCTTTCGTCTTCCACTCCCTCTCTTCTTCGCCCGTCTCTCTACCCTCTCCCTCACAAACCACACCATTGGAGACCGTCCCTCTACTCACTTCACAGTAAGCGAAGTTCTTCGTCCGCAGAACCTTTCCATGTATCTATTATCTTCTCTACCTTTCCCTTAATGGAAGTCACCAGTATCTTCTCCTTCTCCAACACAAGATCCATCATCACTAGAATCAATGGCTCCAATAGCATCATTCCCCTCTCATCAATTTGGTGCCCAGCGATGACAGCGTGCCCATCGTCGTTGCTTCTAATATGACAACAGTTAATCCACAGTGGTGCAGATATGTTATTTCCTACTTTTTATTTCTGAGTCTAATTTCTTGGATGGTTACGATGGTTTGTGTGGTTGATGGTTGTTGTAATGACGTGCCTCTATAGTTGTTGTGGCATGTGGCGATGGTGAGGTGGTGGTGGTCATAAGTGGGGCTGTGTTACTGATGGTTGCCCTATTTGGATAGTGGTGGTGGGGGGGTGGCGACGATGACGGTAGTGGTGGTGTTGGCGGTAATGGTATGCAGAGCCGGTCCTGTGTCTAATGGGCCCCGAGGCGAATTATGAAAAGTAGCCCCAGCGACAAAATTCAAAGGTGTATTATGCGACTCATTGCTAACTTAAAAAACTAACATTAAAACAACAACGAAATATATCATAGAAACGATTTATATTATAAACCATCAAACCAAAAATTTCAAACAATTAGTTAAATACTATTCGTCTTGCTGTTTTAGAGGCAAAAATATCAATCAAATCTGAATAACTTAACTGCTCAACCATTTCTTTTTCTATTGATAACATAGCCAATCCGTTTAATCTTTCTTGCGACATAGTTGATCTGAGATAGGTCTTGATTAACTTTAATTTTGAGAAACTTCTTTCCGCAGATGCAACTGTAACCGGTATGGTTAACAAAATTTGGTAAGCAGTATAAGCATTTGGAAAATAAACATCCAATGTCTTCAAATATTGTAGCACTTTAATTGCTCTTGTTGCTTCACTTGGTATATAACATCTCAAGACTTGTAACTCCGAACATAAATCATCTCCACTAATATCCGAACGCCCATTATGTTGAAGATATTTCTCAAGATTCAAACAAGATTTCAACAAACTTGAAAAAGTTGTATCCCTTAACCTCTTCAAACTAAACAAAAATCCAAATGTGTCATCATATTGTTTGAATTGTTCAAATCGAGTCCTCATAGAAGATAGAGCTTGATCAATTATAAAAATAAAGTACTCAACTCTAAAAGATTCTTCTGCTGATTGTTTTACCTCATCACTACCGCTTTCATCAAATTGTTTTTTTCTTCGAATTATGCGTTTTT